CATCGAGGACGGTCCCCTGTCGTGTCGTGTCTTTTCTCGCGCCAATCGTGGTCGAGACCCTCCACGGCCTTCCATCTCAAGTCTTCCGCTACAACAGCTAAGGTAAGAGACGGCTGTTACAGGTTCACATCCCGATTGTTGGAAGCTGGGTTCATCCCGACACACAACACAGGCATATATGCTTGTCAGGCGTCGTGACCTGTGAGGCACACATACTTCTGGTCTGGGTTGACACTATTGCAAGTAGCGATTTAAAGTCCTAGGTTCGATTGCCGGGGAAACTCCCGAAATAGTCTGGAGCGCGAGGTTATGGCTAGCTGCTGAGATGTGGAGTTGAAATCATAGCTGTTGGACCAGATTCGCACGCTGGATTGGTGGCGATTGCCGAACCCTCCGTCTCTTCGAAAGTTCGGGTGAATGGATGAGGAGGGGTCCCTGAAGGCTGGATCCGCCGCCTTGGACTTACAGTTCGTATGGCGAAGTACAGTGTGGTAGTGGTGGATGGTGCTACAAGGTGATACATCATAGAACTGACAATGTGATTAAGCAGCCCAGAAGCGACTGGGCGGAGAGGGTTGCCTGTTGTAATGCATGATCGCATCAGTTTTGCTATCGTGCCTGAATAAGACCCAGCATGCGTTTGACAGTATAAGAGTGCACGTGTCCCAATTTGGTTCATGGTGCCTCCTGATCGTATTTTGTTCTTGGCAAGTAGCACGGTCTCAGCAGTGCGTGAGCGAGTTTGCCAACGCTGCTCACACTAACATATGCGTCTGAATGTGAGTGGTGGCCCGCTGTTGGGGACGGCCGAGAACTCGCTATATAGCTGTAATGTGAGGGGTCAAGTGTAGCTGCTGTACAGTGGTGTGCAACTGCCGTAAAGATCGCACAGTGCTGTGCATGTGTGCAATCCTCCTGCGAAATTTTACGGGCATTCTATGTGTAATGTACGGGACTCCGTTTTTCGTACCTCCTGGCCAGCCCAACCTGGTTAACAGTTACACCCGACTCAAGAAGGATGAGACACGTTACAGGATTAGGTTTACAGCACCTGTGTAATGATTAGGTTTGCAGCTGGCATCTCAGGATGAGGGTTGTGGCACCAGCTCAAGGGATGGGGATGGGGCCCTGGCTGACAGCTTTCGGTGTGTGGGGGGGAGGGTGGTAAGAAGCGGATCCTGGTGGGCGGCAGCTAGTGCCGTGTCGCCTGTATGTCGGAGGAGGTGCCCGCAAGCCGCCGGGCCTCTCCTGGCCCCCCCCCGCATCCACAAGCTCAACACTGGAATGAGGCCCTGGTGAATTGTTGCCCAGCAGTCTTTTGGCGGGAGTAGGTAGCCCTGTTGTTGAGGCTTTGCAGTCTCATAGTACGAGTTCCTCAACTACTGGTGCTATCCCAGGAGCTGGTCCTCCTGGACGCCTTTGTGTGACCGACCCCACACAACTGCTGCTGCTGCTGTTGCTCCCACTACCCCTCGAGCAACATTGTTGCCTTCAGCTTTCCAGGGCTTTTCCGGGGCGTCTAGAAGCAGCTAGGTTTAATTCACACGTCTTCCCACGCCTACAATCAATATCGTTATGGGAGATCGTTTGGGTGTGTGTGTGTGTGTGTGCGGGGGCATCCGTTGAGCGTGCGAGCTGTGTGGGGATGGAGACGGACAGCTTTGTGAATACACGCACACAGTTGATGAGATCCGCGTGTATACAGCGTATCTAAAGAGTCTTCGGATTTGCACTCCTGTCTTTTTGACATCGGAAGGATCAATCCCAACGGTAGGGTCCCAGCACTAGGCAACCCAGGTAAGTAGGCAGTAAACTTGGATCTAACAATTTACGAGGGACCAGCCAGTAGCAAAAAAATTGGGTAGTTGCTGGCGCCCCTGTGACCGGTTCTTTGCTCAGGTTGAGATGCCGAACACTCGGTCCTAAATGCGTGGCTAGGCAGCATTGCTAAGCACGCCATAGTTCCAACAAAGACATAATCTTTAGGTATCAATGCTCAAAAGTTGTGCATCACGCACGGCTGCGGCTTTAAAGTTGGCTCAGTGTTTGCCCTTCATCCCTTCATCACATGTTTCACCGACGATAGATAAAATATAAGAATAATAGGACGCGAGGAAGTGTCAAACCTTATAAGAAAAAGTACCACAAGTTTGGTAGCTAGAGCGAGGCTTATTACTCATGTTCTATGCTTCAGTTGACATTGTCAATATGCATTCCTTTCTACATCATGCAAAGCGTGTAAGCAATATAGTCGAGCATTACGGTTGCTTCTCGGGATTTCTGGGAGACACAGCTCGCAGATTCCGGAGTCGTCGCGAAGCTTTGTAACTGCTTCCAGAATCGGTTGTACAGAGCGTACAGTGGTCTTTAAATACTGCAAAACAAATTGTTCCAACAATCTCAACAAGTAAAAACATATACAACAAGTAATTAAACCGTGTATTTGCGTACAAGATAGTGTTGTTTGCCTCCTGACGTTTTCCTGTATCTAGTGAAGCAGTCTTAGAGGGTTAGCCACTCTTTCACGCATAAAGTGCTTGAGGTCAGCAAATATGTTCCACATGTCAAGTCCTTGGGATGGGCGCGCTTGGATCAGGCCCGCTGACGACGAAGCGTACCCCTTCGCGGCACCCCTGCATGAGCTTCGCGCATCGGTACCCTTCGAGGATTTTGAGATTGATGCTGATCATCCCGCAGCATTTCCTCATCGGGCATATTATGCCAGAGGGTAAGTCGCAACACCAAACATGCAGTTCTGCTACTGGACCTTTCGCGACCTTACCATTCGGGCCAGAGAGGTACCCAACCTCTTAAAAATATGTTCAAATCATAAAAATTAAATAAAATAATATCCGTGTATTACTACTGTCGTTTTCTTACTGGAAATTCATCACAACCTCCTCCATTACAGTTGCGCTTAATTAGCCCTCTGCTCAGATGTAGCAACTTCAAGGCCACACTGCTAAAATGTATTTTCATATTAAGTTGCCACTGTAAGAATGCCATCCTTCTCTGGCATGTTCCGTTCCTTACCTGTCCTTGCCTCTTTTCAAACTCTGCGAGCAGGCGGCCTCGCGCGGCACACACGGCCTTTGTCCCCTGCGCGTACCCTCAACAACCACGCCGGACCTGCAACTCATCCTCGGCCATTCCACCAGCTGCACGCGGCATGTGCGACAGGCTGGACGAGATGCCGTACGGTTTCCGCTATCCACGTCGGGCACCAGCAGCTCCGGAACCGGTCTTCTACCCCGCCCGGGCGCACATCCCTCCTTTCCGCGTCATGCCGCATCGAGCCGCTGCTGTCAACGACATGAACGCATACGGCCACACCGACGACGATCACGACTTTCCTGTGCTGCTTGATACTGGTTACGGCTACACGCCAAAGCGACCGCCGCCGCCGGGGCAACCGCTGCAGCAGCGGCAGCGGCAGCAACACCAAGAGCAGCAGCAGCAGCAGCAGCGCACGATGACACTATCATCTGACGCCGTCGCCAGCGGCTCGGATAGCGACGACGGTGACGGCAACAGCAACAATGATGACAACCACCGCAACGGTCGCAACCGAATGGATACCGGCGCAGGCGCCGCCTCCCAACGGCCTGAGATACCATTGTTCTGGGACCCTTGGACAGGGTTGTGCTTCCGTGCCGCTGTGCCTTCCGCCGCCAACGCCGCCGGTGGGAAGAAAGCCAGCTTCGCCGCCAAGGACGATAGGGCAACGGAACCGCAACGGGCGACGGAGGCGAAGTCGAGGACGTCTTACAACGACGCGTCGACACTGAACGACAACACGGTGACGACGGCGACGACGACTAGGACGAGGACAGCGGCGGCGGCGCGTCCCGCTAACACCGGGACAGGTCCAACCCGAATTGAAGTTCGAGCGGCAGCTGACGGTTCCAACGGCGCAGGCGGCGGCCAGGTGCCCGTCATCACCACTTCGGCGGTCCCCGCCAACTCTGCCAAGGCGGCCAAGACAGCCGCCGCTGCCGCCACCGCTGCTGCTACCGTAGCGCCGCAGGGAGCGCCCTTGGAGCGTCAGCACAGCACCGCACTGGTGACACGGCCGCCTCTGGAAATCTCTCTGTCCCGCGGTCCCAGTGCCGTACTGCCTTCCGCCGCCTCGTCCAGCAGCTCTGCCGCTGCCGTCACCACAGCCAGCGCAGATGCCGCGGCGGCGGCGGCGGCGGCGGCCACCCCCCACAGCAAGGGGCCCCTCGCGACGGCGGCGGCGGTGACCGTGTCATCCGCCGCAGCAGCTGCAAGCCGCATGACTCGCTCTCAGGTAGGTGTCGTACGTGTCGTACACCAGCATGTCGTCTTGTGCTCAGCAAGTTGCTTAGGGCGACAGCGAGAGAATCGCGCCTCTGTCTCTCTCTCTCCCCCTCTGTGTCTGCGATCACTTGCGTAGGCGGTTCTTTGGTGTTGATGCTGTTTATGCTGGGTCCTAACTCCTCACCTTCACGTCCTATCTGAGCCTCCTCTCCCTCCTCTGCCCGCCCACCCGCATGATTGGGAAAGGCTGCTCGAACCATCCAGCGCTGGTGGCGGGGGTGGCGTCTGTGGCGCCACACCCCCGCCCTGAGGCAGCTCATCACCCTCGGGAGGGAGCTCCGCGACACGGCCGCTCGTTACTACTGCTACCTGGGCGCCACGGAGGACAACCTGACCACCAAACAGCAATTTGAAATCAACGAGCTCACAATGCAGGCCATTCTAAAACTGGATAGGTAAGGGACGGGAGGGGACGGGAGGGGAGGGGAGGGGAGGGCTTTTTCGGGGAGGGGGGGAGAGGCCGTGGGTACCTGTGTGTGTGTGTGTGTGTCTGTACGTCCTGGGAATGTTCCAGAACCCCATGTGGCGGTGGTGGTGTTCATTGTGATGGCTTATCATCAAGTGGTGGGCGGGTCGGTGGGTTGGTGGTGTGTACACGGCAGACGGGTGTTTCGGAGGGTTGGGGGCTCCCCGGAGGGTCAGGTGGTAGCGGGTGGCGGGTCGGAGCGCTGTTTGGGAGCTCCTCTCTGTTCTTCAGTCTGGAGCGTGTGAGCTGAATGTTTATATGTATATATGTATGTATGCATGTTATAATTTATATGGCACAGGGATGTCGGGGTCGCGAATGGCGAGTGGGTCTCTCCTGCTTTGCACACCGCAACTGCTGCCCCTCCCCAGCCACCGCCCCGCCTTCCTACCTCACCACGTATCCCTTCTGCTTTCCTTTTTTAAGCTCTTCTGCCGCCGTCTCATTTCTATTTCTCAATTTTCTTCTTCTTCTTCTTCTTCTTCTTCTTCTTCTATTTCTTTTGTAATGCTGCTTCCCCCCCTTCCTCTCGCAACTCCCAAATCCGACCTCCCCTCCACCCCTCTAAGTAAAGCTTGGAGGGCCTTCCCCGGGAGCTGCGGGCGTTACGCAAGCACCTGACCGCCCGGGCGCTCCGGCTCCAAGATGAAGTGCAGAGCGCCTTCGCCAGATCATCCGCGGCGTCGTCCAGCGGCGGTCCCACGGCGTCACAGCCACCCACGTCGCTGTGCATGGACACGGAAGCGGCGCCGGAGGCGACGATTCCGGAGGAGACTTCTGGCCGTCTCTCCGCAGCCCTGTCGCCGGAGCTTCTTCAGTCCGAGGCTGCTGCTGCTGCCGCCGCCGCCACTGCTACAGCCACTGCTGCGCCACAGCCGCTACACGATGCGGGTGCAGGGGAGGACGACGGTCCTGTCGCGCTCGTCGATGAGCCTAAGGAGGTGCAGTTACCAATGGCGGCGGCGGCGGCGGCGGCGGCGGCGGTGGAACAGCTGCCGGTGACGCCAATGCCCACTCGTACTCCGTCTATGGAGCTGCTAAGTGGCGCCGACATCGCGGACTCGGACGAACCCTTCCCCGCTGGCGGACAAGGCAATCCGGGGCCTCTTGTTGCCCCGAATGTCCCGGAAGACAATTCGGCAACCGAAGGTGCGCATGCACCACCGCCGTCGCCGCCGCCGCCACCGCAGCAGCAGCAGCGGCCGCCACCGCCACCGCAGCAGCAGCACGTGCACGTACATCTCCACGTCAACCGCCGACCTCGTCTGACGTCATGGTACCGCCTGAATTCACAGCTGCAGCAGCAGCAGCAGCAGCGGAGGCTCACAGCAGCGTCGGCGCCTGCTGCGGCAGCAGCAGCAACAGCGGCAGCGGCAGTACATGCCTGTGGTCGCATCGCCCACAGCACTGCCAAGCGCCCCGCTACTGCCAAGCGCGTGGGCAGCTGTGGCGGCGGCGACGGCGGCTGGGATGAGGGCAGCTGCGGTGCCGGCCGGGGTCTGTGGTCGGGCCGTGGCGGTCTGGTTGGGGGTGGCAGTAGCGGCCGGGGTGGAGGTCGGCGGCTGCAGCACCCGCAACGACGGCGGCAAGACCGATCTATGCCGACGGAGGTGCCCTCTACCGCCCTCATCACCACCCCCACCGCCGCTACCCGCACCGCGGGAGCCCCGGGGCCGGACCCATGCGCGTTGCGGCGGCTGCTCCGGCGCATGCGCAAACAACAGCGACACGGTCAGCAGCAGCAGCAGCAGCAGCAGCAGCAGCAGCAACAAGAGCAACAGCAGCAGCAGCAGCACCAACAAGAGCAACAGCAAGAGGAGCGGAAGCAACTAAAGGAAGGTCCATTCGCGCAGCAGCAACAGCAACAGCAGCAGCCATCTGTAGTACTCCGCATCGTCGTACGCTCCGAAGGAGATGGCGATGGCGTCGGGGCCGGCAGCGGCAGGAGCTATCGAGTGCCTCTTCTGGCGGATGCTGGTGTGCAGACGGACTCTTGAGGCGACGGCGGCGGCGGCGGCGGCAGCTATACCTTAGCGACCAGTGGAAGGTCTATTTGTAGCTGAACATGTTGTATTGGTGGTTATGGTGGTTATAGTGGTGGCGTTGTTGTTGGTGGTGGTCCACAGCGAATCTCCTTTTTCCTAGGTTTACAGTTTTTATTTATCCCGTACGATTTTGGGGGTGTCCATCAACGCCAAGCCTAGGCGAGGTTAGGAGGTGCTCTCCACCTCCGGCGTAGGTCCTCAGCCTACCTACCTGGTGATATGTATTACGTGAAAATGTCGTGTGAAGGGCCGTCAGGTTCTAGACAATGTCGAGCGAGACCCTAGTCTCACCGCGTCTTGTGTTAGAGGAGGCGGATATGATCGTCTACGTCATCATGCAGCGCTTCTGCTTGTACGCGTTATTGTTGTTGTTAAGAACCCCGGATGGCTCTGGCTGCTGCGGGACTACTAAGGGGATCATGGGCTTCAACATGAGGAGCTGTACAATTGGTGTTAAAACGGATATATATTGATTTTTTTGTCTGTTTAGAAAATAGATGTGCGTTCTATGTGGTGTACCCGATATGTTTTGAGAACTTTTTCTCCAGCTTAAAAATGTAGGAGTTGAAATAAGCTGCTGAGCCTGTAGTGAAGTGTCTGTCTGTCTGTAGTGAAGTTGTGGGTGTTGTGGTACCTGTCACGCGAACGCTATGCGCAAACTGCAGCCTTGATGAGATGTGTAAAAAGCCGAACATGAGGTTTGAACATGAGCCGTTGGAGCGCGTGAGAATGGAAAAAATGATGCGAACAAAAACTTACTACTAGTACTGCTACTGCTGACTATATTGTACGAAGATAGTCGAGATGTACTTACATGCCTTCACAGTCGAGGTATCACATGCTTTAATATCCGGACAGAGCCGTTGCTCCAATGCGAGTCGTCATAGCGTTACAATATATAATACTCTTGTTCTGTGTATGTTCTGTACGAATACACGTACGAATGTTGTGTAAGAAATAAACATCACGCTCCAGCGAATCCGAGTCAACCATTTCCGTGTGTATGTGGGAAGTGTGCTTTGAACGAGTTTCCTTCCTACCTCTCAGCACACACCGACACAGCACAAAGCTTTGCCCAATTTTCCACATGCCACTTTAGAACTCACCTTCTGTGGATTACAACATGAGAAGGACGGAGGCTCAACTCGTGAGGTTAAAATAAAGTCTGCTAGGGCCATCAGACCCAAATCCGAACGACTTCCGTACTAGGATTTCGCAGCCCTGGCAAGAAAAGCTTTCCGTTATCGCTTCTTCGCGAAAATACTCTCGCTCATCATCCGTGCACGACCCACATCGTGTCATGACTGAGGGATAGCAGCCTCTCGCCCCCGGAGAAAACAACCGCCAAAATGGAGACGTTGCTGAAAATTGCCCCTGTACCATCGGCCCCTATGGTCATATAAGTTATCGTCCAACGAACATCCAATTATTCCCCCACGCACCGCCTCAATTCGCACAATTATGTCGGAAATCCACGACGTACACGCACAACAACAAAACTCAAAAACATCATTTCGATAATTGCGGAAAAGCCGGGGTGGGTCCGTACGGGGAGAGACAACCTGCGAGTGCGGTGGACTGCCAGCCGTGTAGCCCGATAGACGTCGTCAAACTTTCCGAGGTGGGTGTTCGATCCCGATTGGTGACAACTGTTCTTCTACCTGTAGACGGACAGGTCGATGTAGCCAGCCGCCACTGCCACGGCCAGAAAGATGAAAGGGAAGAAGATGGCCAGGATGCCGATGATGGCGAGCGGGTCCTGCGGGCGGGAAACACACACACACACGTAAGCACGTGTCACATACATACATACATACATACATAGGCAGGCGGCTGGCAGAGGTTAAGGCCTGACTTCTGCTCCCGGCCGACCCGGGTTCAAATCCGCCTGCCGGCTCCTCGGGTGTTTGAGGAGTGTTGAAATGGGAGGTGGCCCCCCATCATATGGACGATGTAGGACGTGATAAAATCAACTTGCGAGCTGACCAGGAACTAAGTTGATACGCCGTTGATCCGCTAGATTTGGTTGGATGCTGGTGGTGAGTTGCTGAACCCAACGAATACATTCTGAAGTCGGATGGGGTGACGGATTAGGGTGCCCCTCTAGCAGGGGAGAGCAGGGACTGCCCGGGAAAGGGGGCCGCTGGCGAAGTTAACCACCCTGTAACAACATACATACATAGGTTAGGCACTACTGGTAAGGCACGGGAGATTCCCGGGATCCAGGCTGGTCAAGGTCGAAAATCCTTCCGATGGTGGAAGGTAAAGTGCCCCTAGTCGATGGACGGTGGTGACCTGGGATAAAGTTGACTCGCGAGCCGACCAGGAATGGAGTTGAGCCGCCGTCGATCCGGCAGATTCCGTTGGATGCTAGTGGTGGGTGCGGAACCTGAGCAATCCACTGAGAAGTTGACTAGGGTGACTTGATGAGGGTGTCCCGGAATACCGGGGAACGCAGGGTTTCGCAGGGTAGCTGCCACGGGTGAAGATATTACCCCCTGTCCCACAAATCATATATACATACGCAGGTGCAAACCTCCACTTCCCGATTCAGTTATAGCGTTATAGCTACACACCCAACTATCAACGGCAGGCTTGGCCGTTTGCCTGTTCGCGCACCTTCAGAGGGTTCGCCCCGTCCTGCTCGCCCTTGCTAGACCAGTACTGTTCCGGCTCCTCCTCGCGGGTGATAAACTTCTTCTTGGCCCCATCAGCACCTGCGGTGACAAGGGCGTGTAAGGGTGGGTGAGAGAGACTATGCATGTTACCTCTGGCTTGCTGAGACGCGTGGTGAGGGGCCTTGGAAAAGTTCGTTGGCACTAGGAACTAGAACAGGCAGTCCATCAGGTACCCAGTTTCTCAAGCTGGAGATTGCAACAGCGTAAAAGATTTAAGTTTAGATAAAGAAATGTATTGACGGGATTGCATCAGGTGAGCTTTCGTCAATATCGCGATGGACTAGGCCGCCACATTACGCCTAGGAAGGTGCCAATCAAACCGAGATAGCTGGCATATAAAGTTGAAGTAATATGATACTATGTCAAAGACATTAGCTCAAATCCCAGCGTGTGCAAGGGCCCACGACGTGTGGCCATGGAAACACCTGCTGTGATACGGTGGGAGACGTATTACCTGGCTTTCCATCCGGCCCAAGCAGGGCCCTTGTGCAAAGGTGCCGTCGTGAACGGGCCGGCTGGGAAACAACTTCCGACCGAACGGTGCGGCGAGCAACGCTTGCCGAAGCGGGTTTCAGAGTTAGGGACATCATTTCTACAAGGAATTCAGCAACAACATAAATCCTTCACAGATGACGGTTTATGGCGACAAATAGCAGAATGGTGACGGTTCACCGTACGGCAGATTTTCGTTGGTCAAAATCTGCCGAAAACGCTGCATCGCTTGTGTAGACGTGTAGGCTGAATTGCGCTTGGCGCGTTGGTTCTCTTGCCTCTATATATGCTATTGTTTTCGTAGTTTGCGTATGCAAGAGGGACTAGAGCACGGAGTGACTTGGTTGTGTTCCGAAACCAACTTGTTTGGAATCCCTTCCGCCATCACCGCAAAACTAAAATATCGGCTCACATTGAGCCCCATCCCCTCTGGAGTCCTAAGTCGCGGCAAGCCGGCCTTCTCGCCGCGAGCAGCCATGTCCCATGCGCGCAATTTCCGAAACACGCTTCCCGACTATACGCCGCGCGCCTCAACAGCGGCAGGCCCAGAAGCCGATTTTTCAACTTTTGCCTCTTCTGTGCCGCGCGCGGCGCTGCTGGGCCTTTTCCAGGAGACTTTTGAGGCTGTACAAGGTTATCGTACGTCCAACCCCACAATCTACACCGGTAAGGCTTGTTGAGATTGCGTACATGGGAGGCCCACACAAATCGTTCATCATAAACTATGAAGTGTCTGGGCTTTAGGATCTATCGCCCTAAACATTGACTGTTGCGGCAGCAGCCGCAAAACTAAGCGCTCAACCTTCCCCCGCCCAACACCCCAAGCGCCACACTCTTCGCAACCCCCGTTGTCTCTCTCCGCGGCGCCGCTCTTCCCTTCCCGTCAGTGTGAAACCCGTTCCCCTCCGGAATTCTGACATTACTCGCCCCATACAGGCATACATACCTTCGCATATACATGTACATATATACATATATATATGTACATATATATGTAAGGCGCGACCATTGCCCCCGGGAGATCCCGGGATCGATACCCGTTCGGGTCAAAAGTCCTTCCGATGGTGGAAGGCATTGCGCCCCTAGTTGATGGACGGTGGTGACCTGGGATAAAGTTAACCTGCGAGCCGACCAGGAACGGAGTTGGGCCGCTGTCGACCCGGCAGATTCCGTTGGATGCTGGTGGTGGGTGCGGAACCTGAGCGATCCACTGAGAAGTTAGCTAGGGTGACTGGATGAGGGTGCCCCGAAATACCGGGGAAGGCAGGGTTTCGCAGGGTAGCTGCCACGGGCGAAGATACACCCCCCTGTTTCACACATCATACATATACATGCACGCACACGCCCATTTTTCCAGGCTCAGCAGGGGTCGCCCTGGCCATGTGGCACGCACGACGGAGCCTGATGAGGCATTGCCAAGCGTGTGGAGGAGGCGACCATGCCGCCGCCATCGCCGCCGCGACGGCGGCGGCGGCCCCCGTGGAGCCCACCGCCGCCGGCGCCGTTAGCCTGGACGCTGCTGCGCTGGCGGCCTTGCCGTCGGCCCTGCTTGCGGCTGCGCTGGATCACGTCCGTACTGCCGTCAAGAGTTTGACCCAGGGGGGCCCCAGGAACTACTCACTGAGTCGCGGGTCCCGCGGCGGCAGCATGCTTGACGGTGGCGCCGGCGTGCACATGACGGCGGCACTAATACTGCACGACGCTGCCTTGTCTGCTGGTGCTACTGATGCTGATGCTCTGCTTCGCGAGCGAGACTCCCATTTGCGGTCTTTCCTTGATGCCTACCCGGTATGCACGTATATATGTCTGTGTGTGTGTCTGTGTGTTGCATCCGCTGCTTGTACAAGGAATTAGCGGTCGCGGTCTTAACGGTCTTAACGAACCGAGAGAGGTTCCAAGGCGAAAATGGCTACAAAGCAGCCAAAGCAGTAGCGGCAGAGATACGACAGACGTACAGATACACATGCGAGGTAAAGGAGGAGGAGAAAAAACCCACCAGAACGAGACAGATACGGCGGCCAGTGAACAGGTACATGCACCCGACATACAACCGAAAGGGGCCATTAGCCGGTCTCTGATGCAGCCCGCCCTCGTGCCATACACACCAAATGTTGTATAGAAATTCTGCCAACACAACACACGCGGGGCGGCGGAGGGTCACGATCGCGCATGAAGACCAGCATGTCACGTGCGTATGTATGTATGTTGGTACAGGGTGGTTAACTTCACCAGCGGCCCCCTTTCCCGAGGCAGTCCCTGCTCTTCCCTGCTAGAGGGGCGCCCTCCCATCCGACTTCAGAATGTATTCGTTGGGTTCGGCAACTCACCACCAGCATCCAACCAAATCTAGCGGATCAACGGCGCATCAACTTAGTTCCTGGTCAGCTCGCAAGTTGATATTATCACGTCCTACATCGTCCATATGATGGGGGGCCACTTTCCATTTCAACACTCCTGTATGTTTGGGTGTATGTAGGTATGAATCATTGTTGCGAATGGATGTTAAATGAAAGGAGCTCAGTCTGTAGAAGCACATGTTCGAAGTAAAAGCATTTGTGGCTGGGAAAAGAGCAGTGCCAGCAGTACGGTATGCAGGCATGTACGACAATATTAATTCTGTTAATTAATGTAAAATTGATTTACCGAAAGGGACGTGGATCTGGCCCCCCCCCCCCGAGGGGTTCAGTCACTGTTTGGGGTTTGTGTGTGCAGGGGGGGGGGCCAGACACACTATTTTGTTTCTCTCCCCCCTCATCGACATCTCTCGTCCTCAGTCCCTCCCGTCCCTCTTTGTCTCGCGAAATGATGGACAACTCCTAACGGCAACGATGGCTGTCACCGCAATGGGCACCGCAGCTGGCAATGGACAGCGAGAACGACGAGTACTTGTACGGCAGAGCAGGATACTTGCAGGTGGTGGCAACCACATGTGCGCGTGCGGTTGTGTGTCTGTGTGTTTGTGTGAAGTATTTGTGTGTGTGAATTTCCATATAGCCCCTCACCCGAGGGGAGGGGAGGGGACGGGAGGGGACGGGAGGGGACGGGAGGGGACGGGACCCTCCTGGTTGAGGTGGAGCTGGGATCCACTCGTCAACCGCCCCTTAATCGCCCTTCAAACGGCGTCAACGGCCATTGAACCGCCTCGCAACTGCCTTTAAACCGCCCGTCAACGGCTTTTCAACCGTCCCTAAAACCCGCATGGGGCTGTTTGATTTAGCACGCAGCCTTCCAAACATAGACCCCCTCCAACACCCCCCCACACACACACACCAGGGCGCCCAGCTGCTCCGGGCAGTACTAGGTACGGATGCCGTACCTCCCGAACTAGTGGAGGGGGTGGCCACCGAGATAATTGAATCAGGTGATTGAGGGCGGGGGTCTGAGGGGGGCCCGTGTGTGTGTGTGTGTGTGTGTGTGTGTGTGTGTGTGTGTGTGTGTGTGTGTGCCGCGTGTGTTCCAGGTGCATCGCTCGCCGGCTCATGTTTAACCCGCTTGCACAGGATGCACAGACGGACATACAGACATA